GCAGAAAAAGTATTCTGCCGGCAAGTTTTGCAGTTTCGATACAGACATTGTAATATAACTAGATCTGAAAGAATCATATTTATAACATCTTGTCAAGTTTCACTGCAACTATCCATCTCCATAGTTCCGAGAGAAAAAAACCTGCTATTTTATACTTTTTAACAGGCGAAAAGCACATTGAACATCAGGTATATCGTTTAAACAAACCAAAGATCTACAGTGGCATTAACAAGTATCGTAAGTGAAACCTATTCGTCAAAAGCTAATCCACGTTTAGACATACTACTAAAACAAGTCAGAGCTGTTGCTGGTCATATTATGGGTTCAGATCATTCTCGTGCTCAATTAAGAATCGAAATACATTCGTTAGTATACAAACGAGGTCTACCAAGTATATTTATAACAATAAATCTAGCTGATATACACAGTCCTACGGCTATGTATTTTGCTGGTGTTAACATGGATATTGATGAAATACTATTGAATAATTTCCCATCAACTGTTCGAAAACGAGCACAGCTTATTGCATCACATCCTGTAACAACGGCCAAATTTTTTAATCATTTAATTCAAACAGTCATTGACACTATGATTAGCGGCGAAGGTGTACTTGGTCCGACAAAAGCTTATTATGGTACAGTTGAAAGTTCGGGTCGTGGTTCTTTACACTTACATATGTTGATATGGTTGGATCACGAGTATACGCCAGCAGACTTGAAACAAAGGATTAAAGATGAAGAATTTAGAAAAAATTTAATTGAATATTTAGAAGATATTATCAAAGATCTTGACCAGTTTCAAAGTGAGTATTCACCAACAAACGCCGCTCTCTTACTTATCGTTTCCTGCTGCTTCTACATATCCTTCGTTTCTCAATAGATAGTCGAAAATTTCTTCCAACAGACCCTACGCAACCCGAACAGTTCAATTGCTGTGTTAATTTAAAACCTATAGAAGAAAAGATCATAACAACCTTTCAGATTCTGCAAAGAAAATATTAACAAGAAATAAAATACTAGGTAATGAATATTTCACCGCACTCAAAAAACATAGTTACTTCATTTCTGCTTGTATAATTCCTAGCTAAACTAAGCCCAGCTTGTCTATTAACACCAAATCCATCTGCTCCAAACTTCGATGAGTTATTGAAGAAAGATACTGTGAAACTGGTCGAAGAAGGTAACATTCACAAACATACTGATACATGCTAGAAGTATTCAAAGTCGGAAGAATATCGAATGAGAATGCCAAGGAAAATTATTAAACAGTCAACCATTAATGTTGACACAGGTGTGATAGAAATGAGGCGAAACCATCCATGGATTAACAATTTTAGTGAATGGCTTATGACAGCAATTCGATGTAATATGGATATCAAGTATATATGGTCAGCATCAGATGCTAAAGCTCTGGTGTACTATATAAGAGACTACGTAACGAAATCAAGCTTATCATTTTATGACACCTATTCATTGATGTTAAAAGGTTTGAAATCGATCGAAAATAGCGATATAAGAACAACAGACGTTCAAGAAAGATCGCGGCGTTTGGTTCTTCGATGTTATAATACCATCGCTAGTCAGCAAGAATTATCGGGTCCACTGGTGGCTTCATACTTCATGGGATGGCCGGATCATTACATAAACGAAAAATTCGTTAAGTTGTTTCTGATTGGCATTGAATGTCATCTGCAGTTATGTTTAGATGAACTTAAATCCAAGAACAATTTACAACTGATACTGGCGAAGGTAAGTAGTTTTGTTAAGAAAGCTTTTTGCTTTGTCCAGTTTCTGTAACTCGCTCGCTCTGTCTCTGTTTCGGGCCAGCAATTATAGAAATTGATGATGCTGGAAATAAAGTTGATATTGAAAAAGAAGAAGAACAATTTATCCTTGAACGCACAAATGATAAAAATACGTTTGCATTAGCAAATACACGAATCGATTATCAATGTCGACCGATTACGATTGAAAATGTTTGTCTTTACGACTTTGTTAGTGAATACTATCGAGAACGTATGAAACCAAAACACAGGGAATATTCGAAACAAGCCCACCAAGAATCACCACCTAGCGCTGGAAGAGGACGTCCACGAAGCGAACGACTGACATTGACAAGTGATCATCCGCTACATTTATCACATTTATTAATGAAACGAGCAAAGAATATTCTAATTCCAGTACTTGTTGGACCACAAATACCGAGACAGGCTAGAGAAGAGACGAGAGAACGGTATTGCCGTGCTATATTAACCTTATTCAAACCATAGAGAAAAGTTGAAGATTTATGTTCTGTTAATCAAACATGGGATGAAGCATTTCGATTATATGAAGATAGATTTTCGGATTCAGCACAAACAATCATCGATAATATTGAACTACTGCATGAATGCAAAGAAAACCGTGATGCACATTTACTACAAATAATGGAACAAGGTGAAAGCGAAGGTGATATTGACTTAAATTTTGTCCCAAAAAGAAAACTTAGAGCAAATGACGACAGTGACGCAGATGATGTCGAGCTTCTTGAATTATTACAGTCATTTGATTCTGAGGATAAAGATACATCAACAATCGTAACAAGTGAGTCTTACATAAAAGAAGCCATAGAGTGGATGAGTAAAACGAATCGATTTGAATACTTACAAAGTAAGTCGATAGTTACATTGTGAAATGAAAGGCTGAACGAATTTGTTAATAACTTTATTTCAGGAGCTTCGGGAATGGGAAATTCGTCTAAAACAATAACGAACTTCACACAACGCCTGTCGCATATTGCAAAAGCTAACGATAACCATACGCGCCTAAATAAACGATGGAAGGCGGACATAAAAAAACAGAAACAAGATGTTCGAAGGGCTTTCCTAGAACGAAAAGTGGATAACACTGAAAATCAGACACACAAGTTGAAAAACGACAATAAGAAACAAGTAATAGCAATAAAAATTAGCGAATTAAGGCAAGATGATGACAACGATGATTATAATCGTTTAATAGCACATATTCCATCTGTTACCTGTTTTAAAATGGCGTTTCCAACTAAAAACCAAGTATCAACTCAGTTTAATTTGAACGCTGAACAGCATCTAGCGTTTATGATCATAGCAAGACATCTTGATGGTGAAAGTCATCTGAAACAAGGTATACGACTAACACTAAAACTCTACTGAATAAAAACACTCGTTCATATTTCTTGTCTTTTCAGGCGAAGAACAAGAACAACTTCTAATGTGCATACCAGGCACTGGTGGTACTGGTAAATCTCATTTAATCCAAGCAATAACAACATATTTTAAATTAACAAATCGAGAACAAGCGTTAAGGAAACTAGCTCCAACAGCTGTAGCTTTCAGTAACATTGACGACCAAACAATTCACTCATTTTTAGTACCGATTCAAAGCGTACACGAAAGTGTGAGACCAGGTGATAATAAAGTAGAAAGAGAATGGCAAGATGTTGAATATGTATTTATTGATGAGATGTCAATGGTTCATATCAGCATCTGATCGTATAGCATCCTGATTTGTTTCATCACGGTGCGAGTGCTGAAAACCTAATAAAAAAAAGTATTTTTGCATGTCAAATTGAGCTAAAGTAAAGTGCGGGGCACTATCAACCGAAATCTGTTACGCTTTTTACTATCATGGAAGAACTATTCTGAAATATCAGCCTAACTGGAGTAGATCACTTATGTTAGTCCAAGGAATTTACGTAAAACTAACCTTTCATTACCTCAAGTACCGAATTCTAACCTTTTTATCCAAAAAAATTCTGCCGGCCAAGCAAATATCACATTATTCTGTGCATGCCTGTATTTATCTGACACTATTTTAACGACGAAGAAATCACTCCTAAAACATCTTGCTCTAGAACGGAAAACGATAAAAACTGAAAAAAAACGTTTGCAATTATTGTTCTCTTTATTAGCTAACTGTTTATAAAAATATTACTCTAAGTGTCCTCTATACGATGGTGAAAACCGCAGGCCACTAAGACCTTTCGTTAAAAAGTTATTTGAAAAACGGCAACAGGCACGACCTTTCCGTTTCGATAGTAGTTGTGATACGAATGGTGCCTAACTGAACTAGTTTTCACTATCTTCTTCACTTGTCTCAGTGTCTGATGTCTCTTCACTTTGCTTGTCATCAATCTTCGGTTCCAATTCATTTTCTACCCAGAGATCAGCCGATTTAAATGATCCTCGTATTTTTTGACATGGTGATAATAGCCACGTGCTTCTTCTGGTCCTAGAGCTCCACAAAACTCTATCATGAGTTCTTCAACTTTCTTCGATGGAAAAGTCGTGTTGTTGTCACGTATGTAATTTTTCATTCCGCTCCACGCCAATTCGATCGGGTTGAGTGTCGAATGACGCACTGGGAGACGTAGTATTTCAATGTCATATACACTTGCAACTTGATATGACTAAAGTAATGAAAAGAAAACTGTTTTTCATCTACGCAACCTGAGAGATCCTCATTTCTCACTTTGTAAAATTTTGCAAGTGCATCTTGGTAAATCGATTCCAACAATTCAGAGTTTTTCAGATTGTCAGCAAAATGAATTTTGTGCTTTGTCAACCAATCATGTAGAACTGCTTTTCTAGAGCCTCTCTTTGGTAATTTTGTCTCTTCTGGTTCTTTAAAATGCCAAGTGGCATTATCCAGTATGAGACAAATCTGAGCATTTTTATCTTGAAAGACGCGCAAAAATTTGAAAGTTCAGGCTTATTATAACGGCAAAATATACGGTCCTACCCTGCAAAACTCTCAATTGAGCGCAGGCTTGATCTAACCAATTCAGGAAATGAGTCGAATCCATACTGTGATTAGCATCACACTTGAATACGTCAATTGAAGGTGTATGAAAGCCTTCCTCAGAAATCAAATCACTGATGGCTAATCGATGTCCTGAACAAAAACGCAAAAAAAGAACTTGAATAACGGCAAACTTTGCGATGGGCCTCATCTGTTGCTCGCCTTTTCCTATACTTTTTCTCAATCTCCTAAAGCCACTCTCGTCTGTCCAAATAAATCTCTCTTCTTCATTTTGATATGATCAGCTTTCGTCATGGTAGTAAACCGCTACGGTATTATCACGAAGGTCCTGAAGTGCTCTGAAGTATCTTGCACGTAAAGAAATGAAAGCTGTGGAGTCGAACGGTATCTTGGTTTTACCAACTGAGTGATACTTGAAGCCCATTCGCTTCATTTGCCGCCACAAAGTTGAAACAGACTGAATGTCTGGGTTTGAAGAGAGTAATTTACTCTCTTTTTTTACTCCCTAGCGACCTACGAGAAGTGCCAAGACAAATTGAACTTTTGTAAGAAAGTGATAAGAAGTTCATAAGACCTCTTATCATTTTCTTATGAAATTCTTATGGCATTCTTATCAGATTCTTATAAGACTCTTATCAAACTCCATTCACTTTCCTGCATAATCTTATATAAGAATTTGATAAGAATCAGGTAAGATTCTTGCGTGAATCTTATTGGGTACTTATAAGTTTCTTATAAGATTCTTAACTGGTACTTATATAGGAATCGACGCCTAGGGTACTTCTTGTAAATAATGAAAAAGAGTGAAATTTTGATCAGAAGATTATGGGCTTTCGTCTAAGGTTGTTCTCCATTTTTGTGGAAGATGTGAATGTAATGCTGGTCGGGGCTCCATGCAATTACCCTTTCACGTTTTATTTTTCTTTGCGTAATGACTCCCTGCTTATTCCGGATTATCTGTAATCGATAATCCCAAAAGAAGTCCATACAGATTCTATACAGATATGATATTGAGAACAAATCGGACCTGGGTGTCCGAGCACTAGAAATACTACTGCAGAATGATGTTTTCAGCATCGATGGATAGGCTAAATCCATACAAAACCGTTTATCATTTACATCGGCCTTTGACGTCAGTGACGAGACCTACCTCATATTATAGAGTTCAGCAAGCTGAACCGAACAGTAACAGCCGCAAATCTCCAGCCTTGTCAGAAAGAAAGCTATATCCATTTTACTCTCGAAGCAGAAAAATGTATTTTCGCCATTTTTCGGCGGATTTAGCCTAACTTGTAGAACCTCTGCTGATCACATTCCATAACGTAGAACCTTGAAGTTGGTGTCAACTGAAAGAGCGCTTCAAGTTGTATATATTTCGACGGAGAAAAGTTATGCTACACGTCGCAGTCTTGAGATAGAGATTTGTGAAAAACCCAGTTTTCTAGAAAACCCGGTGATCTTAGCGTTTCTTTCAGAAGCCTTTCAACCATATCATTAGACAGCCCCGTCAATTCTCCAAAAAATAAGATGCTGGCCAAGTGTTTACGATGTTGTATCAAACAGTGGCACAGAAAATACGATACAGTTCGCAAACGCCATTAACGAGGCTGAATTTATATTCCTAATGTTAAAAAGCCTTTAACTCGGTTGTCCACGATCGTAGAAACCTAGCCAGCATCGTATTTTATGGAGAATTGAAGGGGCTCTCTGATAATATGGTTGAAAGGCTTCTGAAAGAAACGCTAAGATCACTAGGT